GCATGGTGAGTAAGGAGAAGTGACATCACAAGTCACAACGTGTGACCTTGCGGTATACATCGACGTTCAAACGTTCAAGTTCACGCTCCTGTAGCACTGTTTCTGATTAAATTTGTAGTCTATTAAGTAACTTTGTATTCATTACAGAGATTTGTACCTAATGAGAAATCTGTCCCCACAGTTATGTATATTACATGAAAGTATTTCATAAAATTGCCGCTTCCAGGGTTCAAATTGCAGGAGGGGTACTGTTAAGGATTACTAGGCCGCCGCCGGGAACGGGTTCGATTAGCTTCGAACTACAACACAATAAATTGGGCGCCATGACCAATGCCAAGTTCACAGGAAGGAATCTTCTTGTGTTCCTGGTGACAACTCAGTTTCCGAACTGAAATTACGGATCGACTGCGGCTATTATACATTAGACACCATTGACAATCTGCATGTTCTCGGGTGGGTGATGAAACTCTCGTTGTGCGAGCTCTGTGATCCCCTTGTCCCAAATGAAATGTACAATGAATGTATTCAGCATTCTAGGGATCATCTTGCCTGTATCCGCATCGTGGAATGGCTTCTGACCATCAACGTTAAACCAGTGTGTCATTCTTTTTGTCATTAGTTTCTCGCAACTGTTTCCTGAAGAATGAACCCAGAGTATTAAACTGTCTGCTCTTTGGACAGAGAAAAATTTGTAGTGTCTACTTTTCGGGACTACCAAAATTTTGTAGTTCACTGTTTGGGACTACAAAAACTACAAAAAATTGTATTATCTTCTTTTATCATTACAAAGTTTTGTAGTACCAGCTTTTTGAGACTACAAAAATTGTAGTCTCCTCTTTTTTCATTACAAAAGCTTGTACTGTTCAATTTTTTCATTATAAAATTTTATAATACCAGCTTTTTGAGACTACAAACTTTTGTAGTCTCAGAATCTTAGTGAGCGTGATCAGAGCGTGATCTTGAACTTCAACATCTACGTCTACAAATGAACAACGTCACAGAGTGTGACTCTGTGACGTTGTTCATCTGTTGGGACTCTGTGACGTTCCTTTTCTCTTCAACCCACAACTTCACCACCACTCCGTCAACGCCAACGACTCCACCTCACCACCACATCGCCGTCATACCAGGTCACGCAACCCACCACTGCAAAGAACCCTGGCTGCCCAAACCGACAACGACCGCCCAACAAACAACACACAAATGGCCACCGCCCACAAAAATCGACGACCAGCACCCACAAAAGTTGACGCACACACCCATGGCGCACCCACTGCAACGCAACAAGGATGCTGACGGTGCATGACACACAACATCGTCACGGAACAACTACAACCACCCCGGCA